AAAAGCGTTCATAAATAATTATAAAAACATCACCCAATCCAATTCCCAAACCGACCTTGGAAACGGAAATTTTCCTAATAAAGGTTGATCCGCAGTATAATTACGGATCACCGATGCGCACCTTTCTAATAATACAGGTGCTGTAACTTCTGCAATGCGATTCCGTATGCCAACTTCGTCTGGAGAAAAATGATCTGTTGATACTTTGAACGGCTTGACTTTAAGCATTAATAATTAAAAAAAGAAAACACACACCTTCTTGTTCATCTGAACATAAATCGAATAAGCATTGCAAACAAGCATACGCAAATCCTTCTCTAGCTACAGGAACAATTGTAGTAGTTATTCCTTCCACCTCCTCAAGAGCTTTTTTGAGATGTGGTTCATTTACTTTATTGGGTGGCGTCGGAGATCGGTTCAAGTATCCATTTCCTTGCCTTTGCACGTCGGTGGAATACAATCGTGACCCATCTTTTATCGCCTCAATCATCTTCTTAATAAGATCTTGTGGAACTCGAGGACGACCCATATGAACCATTACGGCAGTCTGTAAGTCGAAAAGGCATTTCATATCAAAGGCTTCATCTATGTCATGTTGATCCACTTTGAGTAAGGATGGTGGGTGACTGAAGAAATTATAATAAAATATTCAGATAAAAGATATTTTAAACGCGTTGTCCAAAAATTCAGTAATTAAAGTACCTATTAGATATCAAGATGCCTTGAATAACATCGACTAACTGTTTCCAAGTATTTACGAAGCGTTCATCGGAAATATCTACAAAAAGTCTATATATCATTAAAAGACTCACAGGTGAGGTGTCAAAAAGGAGAAATCGTATTTACCGTTCCCGAAACCTTCTAATGCAATTAACCCTTCTTTCACAATCTTCAGAAAAGCAGTAGTGGCAATCTTCCAAAGCTCAATGTCTTCAACATGCTTTCCTGATGGTGGGCAATTATATTTCAATTTCATCGGAACTCCGTATGCCTATTAAATTATTCAAATATCGGATGTTTAAATATTGTAAACCTCAGTTAATTTTCAAATAATATATATTATAAAGCATACCCAAATGATTTTCTCAAAGACACCTTCGGAATAAACCCCCTTATCCTTCACAAACTTTTTAAACAAGCTCTCAACCATACGCATGGAAGTCTTGGAGAATATAATGAAGGTTACTGTTTCATATGACTTTTTAGACGTTGTAACTGGTGCCTCCGTTTTCGACTTTTTAGTGTTCGAATTTGTGTTTTTTGCTGGTGTCTTCTGCTCGACCAAATCATTCTTGCCTTGCTTGTCCGTTTTTTCATTGACGGTTCCTTCGTCACGGGTTTTTTTCATGAATGCCAAGGTTATATATTCTGCGAGATCGCCCAATACCGCAGCGGGAGCACCAGGTACATTTAGGTCTATATTTTTTACAACATCCAAAGCTGCCTCTTGTAAGGGAGTGAGGTAATCGTGATCTGGTCTGTACGAAGGACTACTAGGATAAGTCAGTGTTCCATAGACAACTTTCAATAGCCTTCTTATTTCCTCGATAGAAAAATTAAAGCGTAATATTTTATAGAGATCGTTAAACGTGCTAATATAGGCAGTGAGGGTTTCCTGGTTGAAACGTGATGAAGTTGATGTCGTACTATCTGCTGGTGACGAAATAGCAGGATTATCTACTTTGATATTTTTTTTTTCAGATGCTGTGATAATGCCTAAACCTATTTTCTCCCAGACAAGCCATGCAGTATGCCAGAATTGAAAGATTTTCTTTCTAAATTCATCTGTATGTGCTTCATCCTCAGGAAGATGAATTATTGTGTTCAAAGATCTGATGGAAGCAATCGCTACTTCCTGATTCGAATATAAACATGAATCTTGCAAATGTGATAATAACAATTCCCATGCTTGCTGGAAATCTTCGAAAGTCAATAATAATGGAAGAAAGTTCCTAAATATGCCAGACATTCCCGTCAACACCAATACCTTCGTTTCATCCCACTGCTTGTCGATTGTATTTCGTGAATGATGAACCATGAATCCGCTATATTCTTTCTGCGGAGTGTTCCGTTCGGAACTCGTAGTCTGTTGTTGTTGATGCATCGCCTTAACGGCTTTTTCAGAGGCTATTTTAATGGAATCCAGTAACGGAAATAACACTTGCCAAATGCAGGTATGCCAAGTCTGTGTTCCCAAGACGGCACCGTTCATGTCAACTGTGCGAAACAAAGTTTGATTTGCACCGTTACGCACTTCTGGTCTTATGTCGGAGCAAATCTTTGAGAGTTGCAACAACAATAACATCCATAATGCATTCATAGTATGTGGTGATAATTCTCCTTGAATGACACGTTCGATCTCTTGTTCAATCTTCACATCTTTGACAATCTCGGCTTCCTCGTCCTTCACTTTAAAATTCTTTTCAAGTTCAGTTCGTTTTATTTGTATAAAATCGGATACATTCCATAATAGTCCAATTGCCGTCAAGCTTATATTAAGATCATCCATTTGCAGCCCAAATGCACCCAATGTATTTATACATTGTTTCAAGCATTCGGGAGATAACGATGACAAGAAATCTGTGCAAATGAGCTGCAATGAAGGAAACGCTACACGTACTAGGCCTGATGTTTTGCTGTTGGATACACCAAATGATGATGCATCAATTATATTCAGATTCTCAATAACTGTCACATTACCATCATCTTCATTTTCCGAATTGTTTACTGAACAAACACTCTTAATCATGTCAAAAATCATCCCCCACCCGTATATGAAAGAATGACCGGATGTTTGCAGCAACTTATTCAAAGTCTCAAGTCCCATCTTCTGAACATCGATGTATGATGTTTTATTAGAATTCTGTAATGCCCTATCCGGATTATTTACTAGTTGATTCAATGAATTCAAAAGCTGCATTTGGATCCGTTCGTCACACTCCATCTGCACCGAACCAGCATAACTCATAGACGTGATAATAATCTCGGCCAATACTTCGCAAGCCTGCATACGAATTACGTATGGAGTTGAAATGTAATTTGCGGTTGTGATCAAGTGTGAAACAATCAAGTTCCAGACGAGAGAAGGTTCTCGTAAAATCAAACGGTGGCTATTTGAAAGCGAAACGGTGCGCAATTTCTCAATGGCAAAAGATTTTTCATCGGACTTCTACATGATTGCGAAGGGAATTGGCATGAACACGGAATTTTCAGCATACATAATTAAAATAAAATAAATTGCCAAAATGTCCTTACATTCCCTCGCAAGGCGCTCAATGGTGTATATTTGGGTGTTTTACTCTCCGCCGACACTGCTTCCTGGGTTGTAACTGAAAGTTCTTCGTCTAAAGGTAATCCCCATGTGTAAGCATTGAGCTTGCATAAAGACCTCGTGAAAAACTGCAAAGCATCATCGTCAAGATATTTGCAATTATCGAATAATTTCTTTATCTGACTCAATAGAATATTTAAATCATTTTCGATGGCCGTTTGTTGAGAGACGATATAAGTCGATGATGAGACAGCTTGTGTAGACGAAGCTCCTGAGGAATATGATCTCTTAACATTAGGAGGAGTTGTTGAGGGCTGTAGAAGAGACGAATTACTGCTTCCGGCGGTATGCGGTGAAGACAAAGAAGTAACTGATACTGATGCAGCATTCTGAGAACCAAGTCTCCGAGTTCTCGTTCCACCTCTGCCATGTTTTGGAAAGAGAATATAATCTGCCAGTTGTAATGTTTCCAAAACCAAATACCATGATTCGCCCAACACTCCACCGAGGTATTGTGCAATGTTCAACAAAATCTTCAGGCAAGATAAATTTCTATCTGACAAAGTGACTAGTAACGACCCATCACTAGGTGACCCGCTGGTACCACTGCTATTGTGAGTTGCTCTATTTTCCGCAAAGAATGCAGCAACAACACTAGGAGGAACAGCTCCTTTACATAAACTTGTCAAAAAAGCGTCACGGGGAGTTGATAGCTGAAGCACTCCACATACGATCGTGAAATTTTGATAAGCACGCAAAACACCTGAGAATAATTCGTCATCAAGATTAGCAGTAAGAAAAAAAGATTGAGCAGCAAGTAATCCCGGCCATGCAGTATTAGCCATTTCAGTAGTCAGCAAAATTTCCTTGTGGAATGGATGAGATTCAAGTTTCTTCAATGCAGAAACTCCAAAAGCTGTGGGTTGTTGCATCGTAGGCATCTTCGGAGACGATGAAGGAGATGATGAATTAAGATTTTGACGTTCTGATGAGTTTCTTTCCGATTGCTGTTTTTGGATGATATCGGTAAAAATCATGAGAACAAAATTGTGTAGACCGTCCGCTATTGAATTAAGACATAAAAGTGCAAGATAGTATAGGTATGTTTCAGGGATTGGTGGTGGATCTACTTTATCCAATTGATCAACACTTGACATTCAAAAAATTTTTGTAGATTTTCAGAAATCAAAAGAAATCAAATAATCAATTATTTAATTTTAGTACATTAACATTCCGTTTAGGAAAACATTAAAACGCTTACCACTGGATCTTCATTGTCGAATTTGCTGTGTTCAAACCTGAATCAACTTGACCAGGCCCTCCTATTCCAACACCAGTCATGCTAGATACCTCCAAGCTCTCTCTGCCTTGATGTGAATGTCCAATTAATGAATGGCTACCAACGCCTAACACTTGAGGTTTCTCGGCGGCCAATTTTCCAAAGACATTTATCATATCTCGAAATACGTGAGTAGAAGTACCCTGCTTATCGTACCAATTATATATAGAACGGAGTAAACTACCATCCACACAAATGCCTCGAAATATCTCCATAGATATAACTCGCTGCCATAATGGATTATCGGGCTCTAGAAACTTGATAAACATGTTGAGAAATATTTCGCATTCCATAACCTATTTTTGTGGGTGTACATTAGAATAGTGACAACTCTTAGGAGCATAATTCGTAAATTCAATTACTCTGTTTCACCAGCAGCCGTGCAAACCGGAAAACGCGTTCAAAAAAGAATTTACCAGAATTTCGTTAAATTGTTTAAGCAGAATATAAACCACCCGCATCAAACGCATAATAGTTGGAAAGTCATATTTTTCAGAAAAATTTTTGATAATAAGAGGACAAACGCGCTCTTTTAGTAAGGATACGAATTCTGGGTGCTATTTGAAGAAAGAAATGATATTAATTTGTAAATTGTGAGCTTCTCTTAATTACTAATACAGAATAAATACAAACCGGCTTGAATAGTTTTGAATGGTTCGTCAATACTGATTCTATCAACTCTAGACCAAATGTTCTTGATAAACTATATAATCTAAGGTAAACTGGTTGTTCGGAATTAGTCAATAAACATAAATCTTGAAAAAGGTAATAAGCATCTTTCGCACAAGGGCGGAGTGATATATCGCCTTCTCCTTGAACTGTTATCGTAGTCGAAGTAGGTTGTATCGATCCTTCCAAAATTAAAATTGCATAAGATATCAAATCATTTTAAATATACAATATATTAAATTACTCAGCATTGAAATTTCATATGAACCATATTTTTCATGAATCTTATCCTCTTCCTGAACCTTTTCAAAAACATTAATCACTAGCTGACGTAATGTAGCGGCTGCTGTGTTATTTACCACTACAATCTTTGAATCTTGAAGGCGAAAACAAACCAATAAAGCCTGAAATTCATTAATTAAAATCAAGAGTTAACAACTTATGTTAAAAGGCTGAGAGATATTTGATTAATTCATTTTTACCTCCGCCAAAAGATCGCCGTGTAATGCTTGATAATTGCTCAGTAATGGGGGAACTGTTTGTAAGATTTTAAGCTGTATATCAACTCCTTGTGACATAATGTCATTAAGTGTCTTGAGAATTGTTTTCACTGAAGACTAATAAAGAACGACAATCATTGAGATAATGATCCAGAGTAACCACCATTGAAAAAAGTTAATTTCAATCTCACCTCAGGAATTGCATGGTGCGATATTAACTTGTGAAGGCAACCTATTGATATGGTAATTAACTTGACATGTTTCGTTTCGCAAGCAAGAAGAAAAGGTCGCAAGAAATCTTTATTTTTCGCGAGCTCTATGAAAAGAAAAATAGATTAACATCAAAGCAAGATCAATATGTAAATAATAACATCGATTCCTCATGCCATACCTTGTGATATATCCAATCCAGGGTCCTTTAGTGTACGTAGAATGATAATTGATCTTTCTGCTGCCTTTTATAATGTTTAAAAAAGGAAATCATTACGAATATACAGTAAAATAAGGCAATAAATGCTCTGAATGTTGCATTAATAAATCCTAACCTCTTTGATTTCAGGATGTTTACGCCGGGCTTCGTTCGAGAGCTGTAAAAGCTCTGCATTTAAAGTAGTAGTAAGCCCGCTCATTCTCTTTTAAAAAAATAATAATAATCTTATGGTGCAAGTTAAAAGCACCGGGACCAGCTGGATCCCTTAGAAAATAAAATAACAGGCTTAATTGTAGAAAACGTTTATATTTAATACCAATCAGGTGCATGATCGTAATTTTTAAATTTTAACTTGTAATTATTGTATTAAAATATAAGTTTAATCTTAAATCTTATGCTATCTAGTGCTGTTCTTAGTTGACAGTTATTTAATTATAACCAACCAGTAATCAAGCAAAAATCATATATTCTAATTGGTTAATTTATAATTTCAATTAATAATTTGTAATGTTAATATAACTTATTTAAAAAGTTTTTTTTTTTTGGGTTATCCCAGTAGGTAAACATCATTTCTTTATTTGATATTGTATATTACAAGGTATACATCGT